TGTTTGTCACTTATAAATTCGGTAATTCCTATGACAAAGATATGGGAGAAAAAGTTTAATGACCACTTTATCTGAAAAATCATTATTTTTGATTTGTTGTTTTTAATAAATTGTGTAAAGTGTATTTACACAATTATTTTTATTATAGTACATCCCAGATCATGGGAAAACAAAAAATAAACAGTTATTTGTAGTCATTTTTGCTGAAATGGGTAATTTAAAGTGACCAGATAAAAAAATCACATCATATTTTTGACCATAAGCACGTCGACCCCTACTGGGTCCATTGTGCGCCAATTTCAGTTGGTCGTTTTATTTAAAACGTTAATCCTGTCGCTTCCGCATATCTAAGTAGATTGATTGGATTGACCGACTCATAACTTTTGGGGAGATCCATTTGTTCCTCCCAAAATACCACCAATCTCAGCCTTGTAAATCTATCACATCTGCATATGATGTGAAAAGCTGTTTCATTCTCCTCCTGACAGAATCTGCATAGCGGATTCGTCATTACTCGGAGATTGAACATATGATTGTTTAGCTTACAGTGACCTGTATATATAGCTGTAAGCTTTTTAAGGGCTGCTCTGTCCATGTTCAGTAGCAGTTTACTTCTTTTTTCACATGGACCTTTTAGGAACAGCTTCGAATGTCTCTGTTTCTTGTCGGTCCAGTAATTACTAAATTTGTTCCCATAAATCTACCTGATCCTGCCCTGGGCAGTACTGAGGCTGATTCCACAGACAGGCTCGGGAGTTACAGGAATGGTATCTGAGCCCAATCTGGCTAGCTCATCAGCCACCTCGTTGCCTGGTATGCCACAGTGACCTGGCACCCACTCCACTGCAACTCTATTGTGCTCAGTTAGTTCGTTAAGTGCTATATTGCATTCCTTAACGACCTTCAGGTACAATAAAACACAATACTTATATTTCCTACTTTTCGGCTGAAAATTGGATCATTATTTATTTAAACTTTTTTGTAGCACTTGAGATCTGCTATCACTCTTATAAAAACTTCCCTCTACTTACCGGACACCCTATATATATAATAATAATAATACTGATACTAAAAAATATTGCATTTTTAGGAATAATTTCTAATAACAAAATAATTATATTTAATAATTAAAAAATGATATCATTATATATATAGTTTTAAAGATTCTATTATAAATTAATATATTAATTAACCTCATATTTATAGTGGACTCTTCTCTAGGAAGAGCCTGGTCAACACTGTTCTAATTTAAGTATTATACTTTGACCCCTAATACTTAAATTAAAACAGTGTTGACTTAAAGGATTTTTTTTCTGACACATAACTAAAACATTCATAACTTATCAGGAGTTTTTTCAAATTCAACATTAGTAAGCTGTTGAAAAGCTGAATTGCTGCACTACCAACCCACATCGATAACCTTTCAATTTCATTCCATTTTAAATCATAAATTAAGTAAAATTTCTCAATCATTTTTATTTTATGCATTCAATTCTAATTTGTTTACAGAGGTCAGTTTTGCACTATTTCATGTAGTATATAGAACCCTAAATGCCAATTGATTATTATGTGTTTTGGTAGAGCCATTCTAAGGTTATTACAATTTTTTTGGTTGCTGAGAAATTTTCGGAGAGACCAGTCTAGGCAAAAATTTCATGCAGATAATTTTAATTTTTCTATTGCTATAAAAATTAGTATTAAAGGTTTTTATGAAGTGAGAAAAACAAATATTAACTTTGTTTCTCCCTAGAAACATATTTACTCTATATACCAAACCAGTTTTAAATAAATACTATACAGGGTGTCCCATATGTAAGTAGAGGGAAATTTTTATTGGATTTCTATTGGAGTGACAGTAGATAGTAGATCTCAACATATCAATTATTTTGTTATTATAAATTATCCGTAAAAATGCAATCATTTTTTAGTATTATTATTATTTCTATTTTTTATTCTCTATCATCTAGCTAAAAAAAAAATTGTGTGAAAGTTAAATTGCATAATTAGGTTTTTATAAGTTTTCAATGTTACAACATTTTCGTCAAAATCGGCATTTATTAATCAATTTATCACACACAGGGCTGTCCAAAGGACTGGAGGCAAGACTGAAGAAACTTATGAATTGCTTCATAAGATTCATCTTCGGGATTCCCAAGCGTTTTCATGTTTTATATTGGTACACCGAGTTGAAGTGGCTTTATCCTACTTCCCGATGGCTATTCCTTCTTGGTGTTTTTCGTTTCCAAGTCCTCAGAACCATAAACCCTCCCTGCATCTTAGAACTCCTTACTTTGCACTCCTCTATCCACACTCTCAATACCAGATCTCAACCTATAGATTTATATATCCCTTCTCATAAAACCACTTCCTTCAGTAAATCCTTCATCATTCGTGCTGCCCATTCGTCATTCGTGGAACTCCTTACCCAACTCCATACATCAAACCACGACCATAAACTCCTTCAAACAACTCCTATTCCACCACCTACTACAAATTCAAACTTCTACAAGCTTGTACAAATTTCTGGATTATATAATTATGTTGGTCATCACCAATTAATTGATAGAAGCCATTTTATTTTTATTTATTCACTTTTTTTTTATATCTCAGTATTTCTCGTATATATTTGTGTTTTTCCTTAGTATTTTTTGTAGATATTTATATTTTCCTTTGATTTTTTTTTACATATTTTTATTTTCCTTAGTATATATATATATATATATATATATATATATATATATATATATATATATATATATATTTAGAATAATAGTAGAGTTAAAAAAAATAAGTACATTATTCTGGCATGTAGATATCATACAAATATATTAAAAAAATACTATATATATATATATATATATATATATATATATATATATTATATATATATATATATATATATATATATACTATCCTTAGATTATATATATATATATATATATATATATATATATAAATCCTTAGATTTTTGTATATATTTGTATGATATCTACATGCCAGACTAATGTACTTATTTTTTTAACTCTACTATTATTCTAAAGGGACTTCAGTCCCAGAATAAAATCATTTTTCATTTCATTTCAAAGAAACAGTGCCACACTAAAAGATGATGCTTCTGGAGGGATTGCCATTTTGCAAGCAATGACTTAAAGAAAAAATTTAACCTATCTTTACACAGAATTATCCACTGGTTGAATTTTTTTTATTTAGGTCCACATACTTCCTCCAGTTCCCAATTCCTCCAAGATCTTCAACACCTGCCCTATTGAAACAGCGTTGTAAACCTTCTAAGCTTTATCAAGAGTATTAGATTTTCCTTGAAAGTCTCATGCACATCAAAGATTAATGCCTACAAAGAGTCGACGATCGAAGCCAAATCGGTATAAATGAAGGACATGCTTACACTCCACTGCCTTACTATGGCTTGTAGGAGAAGCTGCTTACCTTTCTTTCCTAAATTTTTTAAACACATGATATTAACAAAATGGATCGAAAATCCCAGGGTAGAATGATGTTTTATTTTTAGAACCAATTTCCAAATTTTCCACTAATTTGACTGACTGAATTCCACTGATTTGATTATAGATGTTAAAAGGCTCCTTCTTCATATTTAAGTTTCTCGACCAGTTTTTTTAAAAATAAGATCACTTTAGTTGTAAAACCTAACCATCTAAAAGAAGTTTTGTTAGATTGCAGGAACAAATCAATCTAACATGTTGGACATTTTTTATCAAAATATAGCAGCTCCTTGTGTTTAGGCAACATACTATTCTTCGAAACATGAGTACCACATTTTTTCATTATGTAATTGTCAGAGTGATTCTGTGTAAGGTTATATTCTTTTTAGTAAAAATGTTGAGGTAAACCCAGGACTAATTTTAAAATTTATTAAAGTGATGAGGGACATCTCTGTACAACATTACATTGCTTCTATAAACTTTTTGTTGCTCTTGATATTTACCATCACTTCTTTATATATTTCTTGATATTTATGGGATACCCCATAATATTTTTAATTGAGTTTTTCATTATTTAATCAGTCTTATGGCCAGAATCAATCTTTATTTTTCTGTATACTATTGTTATTCTTAATGGACTTAAAATCACTGAAAAAAATTGCTTTTTCTATTCTATTCTATTTTAAATGGAGTTGAATTAATGTGAATGTAAATCCATTCATCAATTTTTTAACATGAATAACAAACAACACCCGGAGTAAAGTTGTAAGATAAGGTTACTTTCTTGGACACCTAACGGGAAGCTTGTGACAGAATCATCACTAAGTGTTTGTGGTCTTGAAGAAAGAGAGGGTTTCATAATAAATACCAAAATTTGAGACTGAAAAAACATTTCACCTCAGTCTCAACATATCCAAACATGTTTTTAACAATAAATGTAATTATTTTATGGTTGAGATCTCCTCCTTATCTATTAGAAGTATTTATTTTTTTCTTCTCTTCTCTTTCTTTTTTTAAGTAGTGAATATATTTTTTTCAGTACTTTTTATTTGTTTTGTACATAGTTTCAGTTCTTCTTCTTCTTTGTCTACTTCTGATGCCATCAGTTTCAGTTCTTTTGTGTAAAACTTCATTTTTTTTTTTTTATGAAGTTTATGTTAATTCACACATAAATAATAGCCGCACGTCTATGCAGTCAAATGTTGGCAGGGGCTAGTAATATTTTTGAAGAATAATATTATTAAGATTAAACAAATTTTATAAAAAGATAGTGTGCTACCGCCCAATAGCTCTAGGGAGTAGCATCACACACATGTTGTGTGAGCAGCCACTAAAGTGTTAAGGGACTTTGTCCCAGAATGATTATTTTTCTATTTTATTCCACATGCATAGGCCGCCTTACAGGCTCACATCAATATTTTTTTTTTTTTTAGGAAAATTTCTTACTTCAATTCTAGAGTTCTGTGAATTTATTGTTAGTCATACTTTTAAAACAACTTAAACTGAGAGAAAAAAGAAATAATATATATCAATAAATCATACCCGAATGGTGATAAACAACACCAAAAGGAATAGTCTTCTTTAATACTGGACATATTATTCCATTACCCTCTGACCGCAAAGCTTTAATTAAAGCTGACTTTTCAGCAGTCATCCATTCATAATTGCTTCTTCTGAAAATAAATAAATAAAAACTTTTAAAATAATATATGCAATTTTAAAATAAACTTGAATTCATCTTTAATATATATATGTATATAATATAATATTAAAAGGCTTAGCAAACCCGAAGGTTTGATGCCGACACCACCAATTGCTTATTACACACCTCCCTCCACCGTTCCCTGTCCAAACCCAGTCCCTTCAGATCGGCTTTAATGCAATCTTCCCACCTTCGCTTCGGTCTACCCCTCGGACACTTACCATTCGGCACAGCAAATATTAACCTTTTAGGAATTCTCTCGTTACTAAGTCCAACAACTTTACAAGCCCATTTGATTCGCCACGATGAAATTACCTCAATTATATTACCCGGATACAGTTCACGCAATTTGGCGTTGTGTAACCGTCTGAACTCTCCGGTTAACTCATCCTTCTTCGGTCCGAATATTCTACGCAATACTTTATTTTCAAAAACCTTAAGACGCTGCTCACCCTTAATGTAAGCGGCCAAGTTTCGCATCCATAAAGAACTGTAGGCAAGATAATTGTTTTATAGATTCTAATTTTCAATTTCCGGGACAAGAGGCGAACTAAGTAGTTTTGTCACAGAAAAATAACAAGCATTTCCCACCTTCAATCTAACCTTAATCTCTTCTTCAATTTCGTTTTTTCTAGTTATCGTAGAACCTAGATACCTAAATTCATCTATCTGTTCAAACATATTACCATCTATATCGATATCACCAGTAGTATCGCCATTTTTGCAGCTAACCATATATTTTGTTTTATCCACGTTTATTTTGAGTCCTAGTTCTTTACAGGCTTTCATTAAAGTTGTCGTATTTAGTTTTATAGTTTCAATGTCTTCGCTTAACAGTACCAGAGATCATCAGTATAGCCCAGCACAGATGTTGTCCCACCCAGATCCTACCCTTTCTCAAGGGTAAATATTGCGATCGTGAAAATATTTGAATCTCAGTTTTCAATGGAGATACACGTTTTGAGGTCCCATGAATCCAAATCACCAAGTACCACAAAATGGTATGTGTGTGTTTATGTATGTGAACAGCCTAGCTCAAAAACGAAAAGCTATACGAAACTGAAATTATGTATTTGAGGTTTTTATAATCCTTGGATGTTACAGCAACATTTTCGTCAAAATCGGCAAACTGGAAGTGGTACTTTATATAATCGATTTAACACATTTCTACGATTTTCTTAAAACAGCTCTAACGATTTTGATTACACTCAGTATATCAGTGTATTATTAAGCAGTTTTTAATATAATGTAGGTTTTATTCTAATTGATTTTCTCTAACAGAGCTTAAATGGCTAATTTTCAATATTAGCGTCCTCTAAAGTACCTTTATTTTTTTTAATTTGAAATAATTAACCATTTCACATTAATATTTGATAAATATAAAATAAGAAAGAATTTGATAATTAACTTAAGGAGATATAAGAGATCGTAACGGATAATAGTTGTAATGGAAGAATCAAAGGAATACAAGCACATCCGAGCTCACCTGAAAGAGTACATAAGTAACATGAGCTTAATATAATATGGACTCCGACAATATTATGTACATAAACATATGCGGTTTTCATAAATGCTATCATTGGTATTATTTAATATTTAATTGTATAGAATACAGCGATATAAAAACTAAAATTTGTCTATATAAGGGTATTTAAACAAATAAAAATACCCACAATGAAATGTAAATAAATATAGCATCTATAATGTTTAATTTCACTCCCCTTTGTCTGAAAATACTTATTTCTCCTAAGAAGAGAGTGGTACTTGTAAGTGAAAATCGTGTGATGTGCACACCATTGGATTAAATCTGAATCTCTAGTATCTAGTGTTGCTTCCCTTTTCTTGAATAAACCTGTACTCCCGTTGGCATACTACAAATAATGTGGTTACAAGATCTTGAATCTGATCCAATTCACATATACTTGAAGGTTGCATGGTGTGTTCTATTGTCATTTGATGGACGTCTTAAGCTGGTCCTGAAGATGCTTCATAGGATTGAGCTGGCGACTCCAAGGTGCGGACACTAACCTTGTATAGATAGTCCCATACAAAACATTTGATGTGCGGCCGAGCATTATCCTGCATAAAAAGAAAACAGAGGGTGATAAATGGGCCAAAAATTATTACATATATATTCCTTGAGGATGTCGTTGATGTACGTAAGTGCATTGAGCGTCGGCCTTCGGAACAGATGAAGGTTTATAATTGACTCTAAACAAAGTCCACCCCAAACCCTCACTGATTCTCCTCTGTACTGCATTCTTCCCTGCTATATTGCCCTGAGCTAATTGCTTACTTGGTTTTCCATATGCTAGAACTCATTTGTCTGCACCATAAAGGCTATACCTGGACTCTTCAGAAAACAAAACAAAGGTTAAATCATCTTCTGTCCAGACAGCAAGTTCATGACAAAAGTGATGGTGAGTTTCTTGGTGTGCTGCGGTGAGTAGAGAGCCGCAAGCGATTACCCTCGCGTGCAGGTTAAGTTCAGCAAGCCTTTCCCTGATTGTGTGCCCATTGACATCCATACCCCTAGCAATACCCAACTGATGAGAATTCTCAACTGAAGTCTGATAGCGGTTTCTGAGGGATTATGCATAGAAACGGTTATCAAATGGATCTGCCGCTCTTGGATTTCCTGATCTTGGCCTCCTAGTGTAGTTTCCTGTCTCCTGGTATTTCTGGACTGGTCGCCGAATCGTTGCTTTAGGCTGCCTGTGGACTCAGGCCGCGTATCGCTGACTTCAGCCTTAAATTAAACGGCAGTTTTAAATTAACGCAGTTATCTGAGCGATGAGATCCAAACCATTTCACACTCTTAAAAATTAAAATTTAAGATTTATATAACATTTATTGTTATATATTTACACTTCTTAAAGTTTATTTTGAGCCCTGTTTTCATCTGCCATTATCAATTATTTTCTCATCATTAGATTTCTTCTTTGCTTTTTCCTACTAGGACTATATCATCTGCAAACTTTAAATAGTTTAGCCATTCTCCAAGAAATCCAATTCCTTTGTTCTGCCAATTAATCGTTTGTATCAGACCATGGAGAATTGACATAAATATGTTAGGAAAAAGGAGATCACTTTGTCATACACCTTTACAAATTATTATATTTATTTTTCTGTTTCCTAATTTATATTTGGCATTGGATCTTGAATATATCTTCCATATTATTGGACTAATATGTTCCTCTTCTTTAAAATATTAATAATGCAATCGCTTTTTAGAGAATCGAATACATATTTATTATCAAGAAAAAGGAGACATACAGAAAAATTATAATCATTGACTTTCTTAATTAAGTCTTTAATAAAAAAAAAAGTGGTCTAAACTAGAGTAGTTATTCCTAAAGCCTGCTTGATGTTTTTCTAGTTTGATATATAGTTTATCTTCTATTCTTATAAGAAAATTTTTAGAGAATATTTTATATAAAACTGAGAAAAAACTTTGTGGATGATAATTATTTAGATCTCTCCTGTCTCCTTTCTTATGTAGAATAATAATTTTTGCAGTTTCCCATTATTTAGGAAAGGTCACATTTTTGAGACCTGTATTGTATAAATGATTGAGAACATGTGGTAGAATATTTCCTTCAGCTTTTGAGTACAATTGTCAGACTGTCAACATCTGCTTTTTCTTCCTCGCAACTGTCAATTACACTCTTTAATCATAATTTCTTCTTTTGGGTCCCAGCTTTTTATATTCACTCTGCATATTTATGTTTTCTTCTATCATAATATAGTTCTTATAATATTATTTTATTAATCTAGAAGTTATCATTTAATTCTTATTCATTCTCATTTAAAATAACAATAATTTGTGTTTTAGTAATTCCTACACCAAAAGATCCCTCAACATTCGGGGGTTCGATATCAACGAGTTTTGCTCATCACGGAATACTAAAATGCTAAGTTCCATAATTCCAGATTGCGTATTTGGTGATACGTGATTAAAAAAAAAAATCCCAATACATACAGAACATGCATATCACTACCCTTAGTGCAAAAGGTTGTATGTAAAAATTGAGTGTTTTACAGGAGAGCATAAAAACTAATTATTTCTATATGTTTTATTAGTATAATTTCATATTTTATTACCCTCTGCTTTTTTCCATAATAGCAAAAGAAAAGGCTGTATGAAAATAAAAAGCTGGAAAAACTTCAGGAAGATTTTGCAGTTAAACAAACCAGAAAGTTTTATTAAAGCATGAGAGAATTTCAGAATGGCTGTATACCAAGGCAGGAATTCATTAAAGATAGTGATAATAGATCTGGTAGGAGATAAAATATCTGTTTTGGAAAGATGGAAGCAGTTTTTCACAGAGCTATTAAACCCGGACAAACATCATCAACCAATAAATAAAGACAAAGTGTCCCATTACCAAGGAGACTCCATAATAACAGAGCTCCTGAAATAGACAGTATTCCGAATGAGGTTATAAAATATGGTGGCGAGGTTCTGGTGATATACCAGCATATGATAGCTTCAATAGGATTGAACTAGTTAAAATAATATTGGAGTTCATGAAAAGCTAATAGGATTGAGTGTGATGACCCTTGAAAAAAAGCAGATGCAGGATGAAGATGCAGAACACTCTGTCAGAATTTCGAAAAAAAATCAAGCAAAGAACTTCGCCAGGACCAGGAGGTAAAGAAATCAACGTGCCTGTGGGACCAGGGTCCTTAACGCTGTGCAGCACAGGACTTGTTGGCCCCCTCCACCTCTCAGCGGCTGCCTCCATCCAGCAAGGTCAGTGGCATCTTATCAATACCAACAGCTGTCACCGAAAGAGCACAACCTATTTTGTTGTTATCATTTATTTTATTATTTTTTTTCTCTCTCCTCTCTTATTTAAAAAATATATATATATATACATGTATACATATTTCTTGTAATACATTTGTAAACTGATCACAGGAAAGCTTGATTATTGAAATTAATGAATTATTATTTATAAGAATTAG